ATCTTAAGACAGAACTACAGGTTTATTTTGAAGAAACTGATATGAGGAGATCAAGAACTTCCTATGGTACAAGAGGTACAACCACCTGAAACAGTAGTGATTGCTGGTTCCAATACAGACTCAACAGCTCAGTGAGTTTTCATGCTCACCTTCCCTCATCTGGGAAGGCCCACAAAATAAAATTTATAAACAGAACATTTCTATTGAGAAACAGAAGCAGCAAACAACATTTTAACCCTTTGTGTTACTCATGTTTATTTGTATCCTCAGCTCAATTGGTTTACATCCTGAGAAATCCTTCTCCATCTTCTTCCAAGTGATGCATAATGCTGCTGTTGTTATAACAAACCAGACACCTACCTTGGATGGAATACATCCAACATTCAAACAGGTTCCACCTAACGTTGCATTTTTCTCTACACAGACAGTCTGAGGAAAAAGCACAGGGGGAAAAAGAATTTGTTTAGTAATACTATGCTACCATTTCCTTATGGGATATCTCACAGTTTAGAACTCATGACAAGAACCAGGCAATTGTCTAGTAACTCTCCCTCTACAAGTGTCTCATTAATTTCATGCCTGTATTTACTTTGTGGCTCAGATTTCCCCTTCCTCATCTTTTTCCTAACTTAAAACCCACAAAATAGCTCTTTGCAACCAAATCCTCTACCAGAAGAGAGCCACATTCCCCACTACATCACTCATACAACTTTAAGTGCTGTTCTACTTCGAAAAGCTACAGAGTTGCCTCCAATAAATACAACACTCCGTTCAGTGACAAATATTGCCCTTACAATTATAGGAAAAAACTACAGAAAGCAAAAGAAAAAAATGTCAATCATGCAAAAGATTCCTAAAAATAAGCCAACACCAGATAAATGAACTGGCACAGGTTAAAAACTCATGAAGTAATCATTGCTTTAAAGAAAACAAAACAGAACACCCAAGCCACAACCATCTGCCCCTCTGAACACACTGTAAGACCCACTGGTCTAAAATTTTGCCAGTATGTATAAAGAAAAAAAAAAAAAATCAAAATCAAGTAAAGCAAAACCAAACAAAAATAAGGTCGATACCAACAGGAATGGAAAATGTTTCATCTCATTCTCATCAACTTGTCCACATCAAACTGTGCAAAGGACAAAAACAACTGACAAAACTTCATGTAAAACCAGATCACTTGGCAGGGGACAGAGTACTGTTTTTATAGAAGCAGCACTGGCATCTCCTCCTTTGCAAGGTGCACACATGCTCAAAATAATCCTTCCTTGGTTTATACTCTTAAGAGCTCCAGTTTGCTGAGAAGTGAGGAGCGAGGTGAAAGCCTTTCACTTCTTGAAACTGCTGCTTCTGTGCTAGGGTAGTGGTGACAGCAACACTAAGAGCAGAATTCATCACATCATAGGAACACTTAGAGACATCCTGATCCTTTATCTACCCTTCCTCCTGCTGGAAGCACAGGAAGACATGGAACATGATCCAAGGGCTTTCAAAGCAGTACTGTGGATTGAACAGCACCAGACTGCTCCTACCTTTACCCCATCAGGAGGTTCTGTCTCATCCCCTTTACACCAACTTCACCAACAAGGCCAAGCAGAGCTGTTGGAAAGCCAATGCCCAGAGAACACTGGTGGCAATAACATGGGATGTTGTGGTGGACAATGGACATGGGATGATGTGGTGGACAAGGACTTTATGCTTGTGCCAGCAGATGCAGCACGAAAATTGAAGGCTGAAGTTCAGTAATTCAGTGGAGCAGACTCAGCTATAGTTACACCATCCATGGAAGAACCTATCTATATCTATCCTTTTACCAGTCTCATAAAAAGATCTCCTTACTTTCCTCAAGGACACCAAAAACATTCTCCATGTTTATTCAGTGCTACAAATAACCCCTGCAAGTACATCCAAGTATTTTGGCCTCTCTGACTAGCTGTGAAGCAGCATAACAAGATTATTTGTTGCTGTGATGAAAACCAGAATCCAGGGCACTTTCAAACCTCCTTGTGTATGGTATCCTATTGTCAATCACAGATATGAAGGACTCAAGGACAGCATTGTTCCAAGGAAAGCTGGCATACAGCCAGCCACAAAAATTGGATAATCAAACATGAACTTACACAGCACATGTAACTCTCACAATACTTAATTAAATGACACTTCATTAGTACACAGTCTTCTGAAGGGCATTCAAAGGCAACCAGCAGAACAACAGAGATAAACATAAACACATGTACATAAATACAACATAAATAAACCTAAGTAAGATGCTACAGTATTTCTGCATTGCCTCTAAAATTGTCACATGGCAATGGAATTCCTCTACTCACATTCAAAAAGCATCAGTTGAATATTGCTTTTTCCCCCCTTAAGTTCCCTCAGTCTGTTCTTCAGGAGAGTTTTCCACTGGCCTTTTTGTCAGCCATTGTCCCTTTTTGTTCCACTTCGTTGAAAGAGAAATTCCTTTGTAGCACTGTTTTCCCAACCTCTCTTTCACCAGAGTAAAAGCCACCTCAGTTACCACTTTCAGCAGAAAGCAAACTGTCCTAAGCAGTTCTGTCAGTAGGGCTATGGACAGTAACACCACCACATTCTATTTCAAACTGTATAACCTGGGTGAGCAAGGTAAGGAAAGATTACTGACAGCTCAACAGCAGCTGATGGCACAAGATGTGACAGAAGAATTACAGCATCACACAAACACCTTTCAAGTTCACCTGAATGACAACTCTGCTCTTTAAGTGAGGTCTCACCTTAAATCCAAGCTGAGCTGCTTTGATAGCAGCAACATATCCTCCAGGACCAGAGCCAATAACTGTGACATCGGCATCAACTAAAACATAGAACATCTGGGTTATTTTTGTTACAGCAATTTAAATTTTATTGTATAATAATATGTGTATTACTAGAATCAATGTGTATTATTATTATACAATAATGTATAATAATTCATGTTTGAAAATGTTTTTTCTTCTAAAAAGAAGCAAAGTAACTATTAAAAATTATGCAAATTAATAAATTAGGTTAAGATAAGTTACATTTCAGATCTGAAAGTAACTTCCTGGAGGAAGGGAAATGTGGTGTGAGGGTATTCATTCTGCAATTAAATCAGTCTTAGATTTCCCAAGGAAAACAATATAAAATGACATTTTAACCGAAATAAAACTGAATTCCCCATGCTACAAATCCTCTAAGAACATAACCCAGGATGTCTCAACAGTCTGTTATAACATTTTTCCAACCGTTTCCATTGATATTTAGTGCAAAAGATAAAACTTACTGAATCACACAATCAGTTGTTTATAAGGGGGAATATATGGCCCAAATAAAGAAACTAAGTAACTTCTATTGATTGTAAAGCAGCTGAAGCTACGAACTCTGTACCTAGTTTGTATCTTATAACTACAATATCAGGAATATCCATTATATAACATAACAACATCGATGGTAAAGTTCAGCTTCTATTTACAGCTTCCACTTGAAATCAAATT